AACGGCGCTGAGGGGCGGTGCGGAGGGGAGGTGCGAGCGGCGCTGAGGCGCGATTTAACCCCCTCCCTAGCGTTTAAGCACATGCTAGGGCATCCGCACTAGGTATACGCCTAGCGTGCGTAGAGAGACAGCTGTTTTTTCTACAGACGGTAAAAGCTTGCCGTAGTCTCACGGAGGCCGTGAACGCAATAAGGTGTGTAAGGAGAGGGAGTAGCTGTCCTTAGAGCTAGGAGTTGCTCGTGAGCCAGGCAGCTTGTCCTCCTTCCCTGCAGTGTTACTTCACTTAACAAGACCGTGCCTTCCCACAAGCCTCGCCTCACATATCCTTGTACTATGTCTACGCGGACCTACAACGCAGCTTCCAACAACGAGCGAGTAGTATCAGCTTCCTAATTAAGACATAGCCATGAGTTGGCTGAGTAGGAGAACCGCTGTCTCTAGTGCTGACGTACTACAAGGAAAGTACCCAGATTTTCAGTCCTTTGCAAAAATCTGCTGTGATGACTCCTACAGAATCCTTCTAGCTGCGTTTGTAAAGGGTGGATCCAAGGGTGTCTTGGCTTGAGGTTAGTTACTCCACTAACAGTGGAGCAGTGTATGTTCTGTACGTTGCTGCAGGCCAGAGGTGTAGGCAAACCACACATCAGTAAGTCAGATCAGCCAGTTCACCTCATTTATAAAGAGAACAGAAGCGCTGGACTAGTTCACGGGTCATGACAGGTCAAGCGATTTTTCACAATACCATCTCCTCACAGCAAGTCAGCATTCTTGCATCTCCTCCAGCGCTCCTTCTGGGAGTCCTCTTTCCTTCAGATCGGTGAGACATGAAGAAGAAAGAGGTTCTTAATGCTGTTCCGAACAAAATGTTGTTGAGCTTCATTAGCCGTCCGTTTCCCTTGTCTGGGTGGCAGCTTCGTTCACCAAGGGAAAGGGAAACAAAAGGAAAAAACAAGTTTCTGGAGAATTCAGGGACCTATACAAACAGTATTTTTTTAAAATGCACCCAGTAAAGGGGGAAGATGAGACAGTTGTCCTGTCCTTATGTCAGTATTTAAAGATGTATTATTATCTTCTAGAGAAACTGTATTAGGTAGGTTCGCTGTTTCCAAATTTCACTGCAGAAGCTGCTTCTTTAGCATTAGTTCTACAAGATTCTACTTACGATAATGGAATGAATCATTATTTAAAAATGATGATGTGTCAAATTCCAGGGAGACGATTTTTTATCGGGAAAACAATCTACAACTTGGCAAAAAGATTAGATCTGCAGTGATAAACAAATTACCTTTCTGGATGACTTCTTTCTTCACCTGGTTTGCATCATCTCTCATGCTAGTGACCAAGAAGAATTCTAGGCAGAAATAGGAACCACGAAACACAATTTCTGTGCCTGCTCCCATCAGTGTGACAACATAGTTACCCCTGCGTGTCTATTTATAATAAGGATTTTTAAATCTAAGTAAGAAAGTCATTTTTTTTTTTGCATTCATCTCTGTACTTCATTGATTTCTCTGTCAAGACGTTTTCTGGCCTTTTTTTAAATTCTTTTTTAGAGAAAATTGAAACCCATTTACAAACAGAATTTGAGAGGCTGACTTCGTTAGCAATCCAGATCTCCAGCCTATTCTCCAGCACTGCACGAGAAGCTGTTTGCCCAGGTGCCATGTCAGAAACATGTATAGGGCATAGCCAGTCTGTATGCTATACCATTATATACTGTTTCAGGTGCTAGTTGATGCCTCTTAAATGTTGGAAGCTTCAGCTTGCATTTTTAATTACTGGAAGCCAGCTAAGAGAAGACAGAGGCATGAAGTCACTGTTTACCAGCTTATTATGGAGTGCTTTATTCAATCCAGAAATTTAATAATTGCATTCCTAATGGGAATGGCTGTGTGAAAACTGGAAGTTGGCAGTGAGTCCAGAAGACTACCTGGCTAGAACTCTACTGAATAATTATTTTACAGGTACAAATTCCTGAGAATGCTGGGCTGTTTTGGTTTTGTTTTGTTTTGCTTTTAAAACTGTCTACCGACATAACTTTGTCCTGTTTGTATTCTCCATCTTCTTAAATTACTTAACTGCTCTCTTCCAAGCACTGCACAATTTAGATAAAATTATCAGGATCAGATGTGGTCTAGAACTGTGCATTTTCTACACGTTTCTGGGTTGCAAGTCCATAGAAACTTCACCTAATGCCTTGATATACAGAAGCTGAATAGAACTAGAGAAATAATTTTTCCTAATGGAATTCCCCAAGTGGGAAATAAATAATGGAGGAGTAATTCCTCATGGGTGTATTCCTCCAGGAAGGATATGGATATTTTTAGTGCCCGAACTGAATTGGCCAAAAAATAGTGAGGAATAAAAGACAAAAGCAAAGTTTGCGCGAAACCCGAAGGTAGCTAGTAAATCAAAACGATATACTGCAATTTACATTTCTTTTTCTTGTAAGCCTGCCTCGCAGTAAACAGGAATTTTTATTTATTTTTAAATTTTTATTTAAATATTTTCTTTAAATTTATTTAAACTTGGGAACAAAGTGTCTCTGATAGAAAGAGG